CGCTTGTAAACAGTGATGGGGTGGAAGCGTTCAGCGATCAGGGTTGACCAAGCCAGTTTAAAGTAATGTCTCAGTTCAAAATCTGACAGAAACATCTTTGTTTTAACTCACTTCCTCAGTAGCGTCTTGTAAATTCAGTGGTTTTTTAAAAAAATGTTTATTTTTTCTCAGTCAATGACATCAGTACCACAAGCCAGGATAATTATGTTCTTGGAGGCTACAGGGCAGCAAGGTTTACCAAACAGTATCTTCCATATAACAAAAACTTGAGTTACAAATAATTGGTCCCCTGTGCTTCTACAGAAACGTAGAACTCTCCTGTTGGACAGGCTTGGGTGCATTTTGTAGGCCTGACATGAAACAAGAAGGTAGACAGCTGCAAGCTTCATCAAATATTTATAAGATTTTATAATGCCTACGGAAGAAGGCCTCAAGAGCAAACAGTGAAAATAATCCACAACTGTGACGTTTAATAAAATCGGTTGCTGTCGCAGGACATGGCATGGGGAGGGTGGTGATCAGATCCTGCCCAAGATGTTCCAGCCACTTCTGGCTTTTTGCCTCACAAAAATAGCTCTTTAGAAATGTGCGTGTGTGGAGTTTCTGTGTGGGGGTGGGTCTGTTCCCACCTGGCTTCCCATGATAACATCACCCTGGTCTTTCTTGACAGCACTGTTCAGTGTGTTTGTGAAAGATTAGTGATCCCCCCCCCACACACACACACACCGCAGCCCTCCTAGATACTTCAGAGTCCATGTGGAGAAACCTCTCCCCTGAAATCCAGAGACGCACAGTCCTTAGAACAACCCTGTGAAGCAGGGCTGTGTGGTTATTTCCATATTACAGATGGAATGGCTGCAGGCTGAGAGAGAGTGAGTGGCTGGTTTGAAAACCACCCAGGGAGTTGACAGTCAAGGTGAGGTCTGACGTGGGAACCTCCCGTCTCACAATCTTAGTCACTGTGCTAGACCGGTTCTTGACAGCCTTGCACTGAAGTCCGTACAGTGTACTGGCCCACAAATCACTTGACCAGCCCACTGTCTCACAAATCCCTAAATTGGCTTTTAGTGGGCTAATAAGAGGGGCCTCAGACACCGTTAAAGCTTTTCCTAACCAAGCTTACTGCGCTCAGGCAAATAGCTATTTCCATTCCTTGTGGCTGCTGTTTGTTTTTGAAATGGAAGAGGAGGCAGAGAGGAGGAGATTGGATTTATACCCCGCCCTTCACAACCCAAAGGTCTCTCAGAGCAGCTTACAAACTCCTTTCCCTTCCCCTCCCCACAACAGACACCCTGTGAGGTAGGTGGGGATGAGAGCGCTCTTGACAGAAACGGCTCTTTTTTTCAAGAACAGCTCTCATCAGAACTACGGCTTGCCCAGGGTCAGCCAGCCGGGTGCAAGTGGAGGAGTGGGGAATCAAATCCGGTTCTCGCAGATTAGAGTCCGCGCACTTAACCACTACACCAAACTGGCTCTCTGGAAAAAGTGAACTAGATAACCTGGCTAGAGTAGGGGTCCTCAGCTTTGACCCAGTGGGTGCTTTTGGAATTCTGGGAAAAGGCAGTGCAGTCAAAAAATGGCTGCCGTGTGGGAGCAGTCAGGAGACTGCAAATGGATCATTCTCTTACGAGACAAGAGGCTATTTCCAAATGGGCCCTCTTTACAGACTCAAAGATGAGCCAGTGTGGTGGAGTGGTTAGATTGTCAGACTAGGATCTGGGAGAACCAGGTTCAGATCCCCACTCTGCCCTGGAAGCTTGTGGGGTGACCTTGGGCCAGTCACGTGCCTTCTGCCTAACTTACTTCACAGGGTGGTTGTCGTGAGGGGAAAATGGAGGAGACGAGAATCTTGTAAGCCACCTTGAGAGACCGCGTTTGTGTGAAAGGTGGGATATAAACAAAGTAAATAAATAATAAAAAGTTAATAAATAAATGCTGAAGCACCTCTAATGATGTGGAGGGAAGCTTCGTCTCTCTGCTTTGGGAAAGAAGCAAGGGGGCCCCAGGAAACAGCAGACTGCTGTGGCTTACAGGGATGCAGCATGGGGTGTGTCTGTCACAAGTAGAGTTGCCATCCTCCTTATGGGGGTGGGGGTTTAACTGTTTTTGGGGGCCACAATCTGCCGCCGCCCAGCCGGGGAGCCCCCGAGCAGTCCCGTCTGTGCCAATGTGCCCGGTGTGATGATGTCACTTGGAGGTGATGTCATCACACAGGGCATGTTGCACGGGGGACACTCTGGTGTTTGAGAAAGAACTCTATGGTTACTGAAAAATCCCGGAGAAGAAGAGGACCCCTCCACCCAGCAGCCAGGTAAGACCTGGCAACCCTAGTCGGAAGACTCGTTCAGTAGAGCGCAGAGCTTGGCTTTTCCTGATCAGGCATAATGTCTGTACAAAATTAAATCACTCTGTGGTGGGAGTCTCCCCTCTGACGTGTTCTGTGTCTGCAGGTCCTCATGTACGGCCAGCCGTATCGTATTTCTGTGGAGCTGGAGCTGCCGGAGTCTCCCGTCAACCAAAACCTGGGGATGTTCATGGTGGTCATATCCTGCTACACCAAAGGCGGCCACATCATCTCCTCATCAGCCAGATCCGTACGTGCCAGGGATGGGGAGGGGTGGGGGAGGGATGTTGGCCAGGACAGCTGTTTCCAACTCTCTTCGGAATGAATGACTTCTCTGCCGTGTTCTGTAATTCCTCCACGTTCTGGAAACGAGTATACCCGGTTCCTCCCTGTCTATGAAAACAGAAGAGGTGTATGCGTTAGATGAAATCTGCAAGGGTGATGTTATCTGGAAAGATGCCTTCCTAGTTCTGTCGCTGCTGCCCCCGTAAACGTTTAATTTTGCAGCCAGGCTTAGCCCAAGAATGTGATTCCAAATACTGGAGCGTATGAAAGGATGGATGGCGGAGCTTGTAGAAAGAGAGGGGCGGAGGGGCTTTCATGGCTGAAAGCAGCCACAACTTCTGATCTAGAAACTTCATGTCTAATCTCAGAGAGGGATGAGAAAAGCGAATGGTGCCCTTTGCAAGGACCTGCTTGTTCCCATGAGCAGTGTTCCCTCTAAGCTGAGTTAGCGTGAGCTAACTCATAGTTTTTTAGCCTCCGGATCACACATTTTTGTCATAGCTCAGGAAGGGATGGCTCCAGAGCAAACTAATTTATTCAGCAGCCAAATTGCTCGCTCACAGCTTTAATGCCAGTAGCTCACAAAGTAGAAATTTCTGCTCACAAGACTCCACAGCTTAGAGGGAACATTGCCCATGAGACCTAAAAAGGTGGCTTTTTAAAGTCACACCGGAGATAAGTCCATCAGCAGGGATTGTCCATAATGGTGAAATAGAACCTCCCTGTTCAGAGGTGTTGTACCTTTGCGGTGGAGACAAGTAACAGAGGATGCCTCTGCTTGTGAGCTTCCCAAAGGCATCTGGTTGGTTGCTGCTCAAAACGGAATTCTGGACTCTTGGTCTGATTAATATGCCCTTCTTATATGAAACTTCTCTCTTTATCTTTTTGAACCCCCTTCCTCAGTAACTGTCCTGGGAATACTATACTGTACTAGGATTGCCAACTGCAGGTTAGGAAATCCCTGGAGATTTTGGGGGTGGAGTCTGAGGAGGGTGGAGTTTGGGGAGGGGAGGGACCTCAATGGATTATAGTGCTACAGAGTCCACCTTCCAAAGCAGCCATTTCCTCCAAGTGAACTTGTCTCTGTTGCCCTAGAGATCAGTTGTAATAGCAGGAGATCTCCAGCCACAGCCTGGAGGTTCAAACCACAAACAGTGTTTCTTCTTTTATTCCTTTATTTTACTTCATGCAGTGCTGCTGCTGCTTCCGAACAACTTCCAAACAACGACGATGGATTTTCTAGGTAAGTATTCCCTCAATGCTTCATCAGATTGCTTGTTTATACATGGAACCCATGCTTTTCGCATTGAGGGAAACAGAATACTTACCTAGGAAATCTGTCGTCGTTTGGAAGTTGTTGAAGCAGCAGCAGCATTGCATGTTTGAAAGTTGTTTGGATGCAGCAGCAGCAGCATTGCATGAAGTAAAATAAAGGAATGAAAGAAGGAGCAATGTTTGTGGGCTGTAACTGTAATGGAATCATTTTTTTCACAGTGAACTTTGGTGGTTTGTACCTTTGGTTAATTTATTTATTTATTTATTATTATATTTCTACCCCACCCTCTCCACGAGCGGGCTCAGGGCGGCTTACAATAGGGCACCATGTGTCATAGCATAAAACAGCATAAAAACAGGATAAAACAATCAACATTAAAGTGCTCAGTAGTTACAATCAAAATTTAACGAGATGGAATCAAATTTGCAAGATGGACTTCCCAGTATCTTACATAGCAATCTCTAAGCTATGGAGCCCTGTGAGCAAAAATTCTACTTTGTGAGCTACTGGCATTAAAGTTGTGAGCAGGAGCTTTGGCTGCTGCATAAATTAGTTTGCTCTGGAGCCCTCCTTCCTGAGCTGGGACAAAAATGTGTGAGCCAGAGGCTAAAAAACTGTGAGCTAGCTCACACTAACTCAGCTTAGAGGGAACACTGGTGAAGACCCCACCAAATAATACTCCCATTTTAAAACAAGGCATCCTTTTCGGTTGTCTCTGGCTATGCATACATTCTGCGCCTTCCTTCCTCCTTTGGTGTAGTGGTTAGGAATGTGGGCTCCAATCTGGGAGGACCAGGTCTGATCTCCCACCCCTCCACACGCAGCCGCCGGTGCGACCCCGGGCCAGCCACAAGCCCCCCCAGATCACTGTGGTCCATTTGTGGCTTGAACAACCTGGAGGTTGGCAACAATATGCTATACTGACCGTGATTTCAGAACCTTGTAAGAAACTGGCAGAATATTAGTGGTTCTAGAAAGTTCCGCAGTCACTTTGAACTGGAGAGGACAGGGAATGTAGCTCTTTTTTTTTTTTACAACTACTTGCAGTTTAAAACATTTGTATACTACTCAGGATATATTACCTAACAATTTTTATCAAAATAGGCTGAAATACACCTATGACCAAAATTCTATACTTGGTAAAACATTAACATAAAAGGACTAATTTCTTTTAATATAAATCTGGCCAACAGTAGAAGTTAAATAATTTTTGTACTGTTAGAATGAATCTGGTTGATGGACCAAATCTCACTCAATTTAAGGCAGTTTCATATGTTTGTACATTCAAGCTCATGCAGTATATACTGGAATTTTTTCTGAGATTACTACTGTCCCTTTTCTGTCTTTACCTTCAGTGCATTTTTTGTGGTGTGATTTCCTCTGTTTTGTTTTTTTGGCTGTTATGTCTCATGCCTGACACACTACAAATCTGTATTTTCAGAGGCACTACAAAACATTCTGACTATTTGGTGCAGTGGTTAAGTGCACGGACTCTAATCTGGGAGAACCGGGTTTGATTCCCCACTCCTCCACTTGCACCTGCTGGATGACCTTGGGCAAGCCATAGTTCTGGCACAGCTGTTCTTGAAAAAAGAGCAGTTTCTGTGAGAGCTCTCTCAGCCCCACCTACCTCACAGGGTGTCTGTTGTGGGGAGGGGAAGGGAAAGGAGTTTGTAAGCTGCTCTGAGACTCCCTTCTTCTTCTTTTCATTGGCTGGCCATTTCTTATCTCCTAAATCAGATTTCCCCAACTTGGTGCCCTGGGGCACCATGACACTGGCCACTACTTTCCTTGGCAGCAGCTGAGTTTTTCAGAAGGTGGGTGGAGCCATTATAAGGCAAGCCTTGTTATTGACTCCCCTCATTGAAATGAAAGGGTTTTTCACAGCTGCAGTAACAGCCACAGCCATTGGGGAATCAGGAGAGTTTTCCGTGGTCAGTGTGTGGTTCCATTCTCCTTTCAGACTCTTCGTTAAATTCCCCGTTTTCTTTCTCCCTTTCCCCTTGGAATTTCCTTCATGTTTTTATTTTTTTCTTCCTCCTCCCTCGAGTTTTCCTTCATTTATTTTATTCTCCTCATGTGATCCTTTTGCAAAGCAAGGGAAGGCAGGATGTGCAGCCGCCTCCTGTGGCAGCCATTTTGTGGTAGTGCTCACCACCTCCTTTCAGAATTCCAAAGGTGTCCACAGATTCCGAAAGGTTGGGAACCCCTGTCCTAAATTTTTAGGGTTTTTTTTCTTTTTATTTTGTGTTTCCATGAAAGGTTAGTCCAATAGTGACTTGGATCCAGTGGCAGATTTCCGTCACAGCTCCAGTCAGGGGTGATTTTCACTGTCTCTCCCTTCTTGCTTTCCCTGGAAGTCCACTCTCTGCCTCCCCCCCAGCAGTATTTTGGGCTTTAGTGGGACAGGGAAGTCCCATTCCCTTGACAGAAATCCCTGCCATTGGCAGAAATTACCACTGGGTCCAAACCCCCAGCCTGTTGGCTGTGATGTCAAAATTAAGTCTCCATGTTCTGAGGCAGCGTATTTCTCAGTACCAGCTGATGAGGCAAAATGGGGGAAGCTTTGGCATCTGTTTGTAGGTGTTTTGAGGGATACCTGGTTGACCTCTGCTAGAAACTGAAGTCACATAGTATATATTAAGATCACCCAGAACACCACAAAACAGTGTATGAACTTTTGAGTTCTTTGTACCTGTTCATCCCGTGGATGTTTAAAAAGGGCAGGGTGGGGGACTTTTATGGCTGTCTTTGCATCTGGTACCAGGTAGTCTTGCATAGGTTATGGTGCTGGGTGGGGCTGCTATTAGGTTAACTCCTTTTTCCTTCTGGGAAGAACAGCGGCAGCCTCTGACTGTAGTTATAAAAACCAGTGGTTAGTCAAGTGAGAAACAGGGTGCTGGGATACGTGGCCTGATCCAGCAGGGTTGGTCTTGCGTTAATCGAGAGCAGAGTACATCTGTTCCTCAAGCACATCAGTTACTGGGCTCCGTTTAAGGCATGAGCTATCACATGACAAAGCCCTTCGTGGCCTTGGATCCTCATATCTGCGAGACCGCCTCTTCCCCTGGGCTCCACCACGGCAGCTCTGCTCATTGGAGCAGGGTCTTTGGCAGGTTCAAAAATCAACAACTAGCCCGTACACCCGCAGTTATGGAATGGGCTGCCTGAGGAGGTCAGGAAGGCTCCCCACTCTCCTGGCTTTCTGCAAACGATGCAAAGCTGAATTATTCAAGAGGGAATTTCTACACAGGCAACAGGGCAGCACTGTACTAAATGATTCACAAAGTTACTTGGGTAAATCATTAGGGAGTGTGGTTTATACTACTGTGTATAGTATAAGCCCTACATGACCAGGGTCCGGCATACCTGAGCCCTTTCCCCATATAGGCCCCAAAGAGCACTTCGGTCGGGGTCACAACACTGTATAGTGACCCCGGGCCCTAAAGAGGCCAGGCTAGCTACCACGAGTGTCAGGTCATTTTCGGTGGCGGCTCCTACCTGGTGGAATGAGCTCCCGGAAGAGATCAGGGCCCTGCGGGACCTTTTACAGTTCTGCAGGGCCTGCAAGACGGAGCTCTTCCGCCAGGCTTTTGAGTAGGAGCCCCCCCCGCCACTACCACCACCGCGTTACTGCGGAGCCATACCGCCGGGTTGGGCTGATGGAGCAACTGGAACATCGTGGCCCA